CATGTACATCCAGCTGATGACTTCCAAATAGGAAGAAACGAGCATCCTGGATTTCACTACTGACTGTTAACCGTTATTGTCATCGAAAGTTTTTTCTTTTCGACTGGCTTTTTATCACAGCTTTACTTTAATGTACATTTCTTCTAGCTCTAATCATGGAATAACAGTCTGTTAGAGCCTATGTTGCGATGTTCAGGGAGCTGTACTCGTCCAGCGGTGTCCGTCAAGGGTGCCCACTCTCTCCATTCTTATTCAATTTCATCATAGATATTCTCATGGAGGTCTCCCTCTTGTCACCTGAATACACGGAGGTTGACCTAATCGCAGGAGAATTTTCGTCAGACCCAGAATATGCAGATGACATAGTCGTGTTAGGTGAAGACGCTGACAACATGCAGAGTCTTCTGAACACTGAGTGGCAATTTGAGAATGTTTTGGATGCATTTCTCACCACCCAAATCCAAATTATTGCTCCACCATTTCGTCTTCAACGGTGCCCCACTGTAGCTAACAATACAGAGTGTAGTGATCGAGTGTGTCAACCACTTCATTTATCTGAGACGTAGGATTAGTCCTGGTGGTGCTGGTGGCTCAGTCGACGATGAAATCCATCCACAAATACAAAAGGCTACACTGGCTGGCTTTCGCAAACTCACCCAACATGTGGACCCACCATCATATCCAATTGTCAATCAACGGTCACCTGTACTACATACACATCCACAGCAGTACACTCTCTCCTACTCTCTCTCTCTCTCTCTCTCTCTCTCTCTCTGTCAAACATGACCATTCAAGGTAGAAGAAATTAGACGGCTGGCTTCAAGTGTTCGACCACAGTTACACTCCTAGTATACACAGTCTCATGTGGTGTCACCACCTGAGTAACGCAGAAGTCAGGTGCAGAGTTTCACGTAGGAGAAGCAAGACACTTGATGCGGTTATCAACATTCACCGACTGAGGTGGTTGGGACATGTCTCACATTCGTCTAGCTACCGTCTGTCTCGTCACACAATCTTCACCGAAGTAACTTCACGCTGGAAAAACGCTCAAGGCAGCCAGACTAAAACATGACACCAATGTATAAAATGCCTGACTGTTGGTTTCAGCTATGTTGCCCGATGCAGACTAGCCGGTTGGGGTCCGTGCGACAACAGAAACCAGGGGTTGGAGACTGACTCTAGACGATATGGCTCAGAACCGATGTCAGTGGTGCAGATGTATACCGCTATACCGAATCTCACCATTTTCTCATTCTTCCTTTTTATCTTCTAGCATTTTATATATCTTTCAACTGAATTTTCTCCTCTTCACCTTCCACTTCAATGCCTTTTTACTTGATGTACTGATATGAGGTGTGGCAATTCGGACCATTACGCAGTAATGCCTGGTCCTATGTTTATTCGGATGAATGGATGGACCAATCTGTCAGTTCGTTAGTTTTAGATTAGTTAGGATGGTTATTATCTAAATATAGTAGTGGATAACTGTTTTACTAATCGAGTTTCGAAATTCTACCTAACTGACGTCTGGAATCAGTCAAATTTCTTCTTCAGGTTGGGAAACTGTCTTTATCTTCTTCTGACTTAATGAATTAGTGTTAACGTGCATCATGTGCAGCACTGAGGTTTTTGAAATTGATCTCAGATTCATTTCCATAGACAACTGAAGGCTAATGTAACTTTTTCAATTAAAAGTCTAACCAGATGGAATCAGGCTAATATGTTATGACATGTACACATTATTAGTTAATAAGTTAATTGAGAACAAATCACTAACTCGGATGATAACGTGATATCCGCTGTCATCCATTAATATCGTACAGACTACCTGATAGATAATGATTATGAAACCTTAAGTATATTATCAAAATTGAAATAATGAAGGGATTTGTCTTGGTGACTCAGAGTGGAATTCAGTAAGCGCGCTTCGTCCCATTTGCGACTTATCAGCTAGCAGCACTGTTTCAACTACATGTGGCGGCACAGGTGAGGACGTCAAAACCAGTGTGTAGATCTGCACTGCATTCAGCATAAAAAGGGAATAAGATCCGGATTTTCAACAGCAATATCAGTGAAGTCAGTGCTTTTATATTGTAAATACATGGCGTGTCACGGAAAACATTTCCAACAAACTACAGACATTCATCAAAAACTGTCTACTCTGGCTCGTTACTGAAGCTCAGATGGCCAGAATAATAAGAATAAGCAACAAGGAAATCTGGCTGGCAACAAACAAACCAAGGACCAATCACTCAACAAATATGCAGAAGGAAGTGGAGACGGATTGGACATACACTGAGAAGGCCGACTGGGGACATCACACGCCAGTGGAAGCCAAATGGGAAACGACTAGTTGGGCATCCGAAGTGAGGGTAACATAGAGGAGATTGTGTGAGGAAGAAATGAAAGGTTGTGGAGCCAGGTTCGAAAGACTGTGGAGAAGAGAGTGCACTGAAGACATGTTACTGAAACTCTATGTTCCGCTAGGAAGCCAAATGACAAATAAAAGTTAATAATGATAAAAACGCTAAATTTAAGAGAAGCACCTTCAGAATAACCTTGTCTCAGTTTTATGCTTGATAGGCTATAAATCATTTAGTAAGATTTTTGAAAAACAAAAGATTTTTGCAACTTTCCCTTCATGCCTGACTGTTAAGAAGGCATTGGCTGAAGTGAAGTAGTTAAATTTAGTTCCACAATATTACCTAGTGTTTGGAACACCATTACCTTGATTATGGTAATCCAGATGTGTATAATTATCATATTTGTTGATTAATATATGTAAATTACTAAACAAACTGGAAAGGGTCTCGGTCAAATAAATTATTCTGGATACATATTAACTTGCGACAGAATGAGTATTTATTCTTTTTACCGATTCTTATAACTTTACCTCTTTCTACATTAATTTTCTGATTTATAGAACAACCAGTCTTGTCATCATCTTCATGATTATCCCGATCATCATAATCATTCTAGGTTTTCTCGACGGAGATGCACAAGATTTAACATCAAAGGCAATACTATACTCTTCGTACAATGAATGGATATTGTGAATCTGTGGGATAATGGATAACGCTGTGGCGTTTGAACCGATGGGTACTAGGTTTCAGCCTTAGTGGGAACAACATCACTTACTGTGAGGTAAATACACCAAGTCGAAGAGTTCCAAATAGGATAGGTCATGCGTTCTAGGTTCCCCTGCTAGCCAATATACATTAGAGATTTGAAAAATACTGACAGTAACAAGGCATCCCCACATTATTATTTATTATTATTTGTCACTTGAGTTCCTAATAGAACATACGGCTTCAGTAGCACGTCTCCATTACAATCTCTTCTCTACAATCTTTTCAACCTGGCTCCACCACTGCCCAAAATCCGCATCTTATTCACGCTTTATGCTGAGTGCAGTGCAGAATATCTCAACACTGGTTTCACACCAATGAACACCTGTCTTGCTTATCCAATCCTGCCTGCTTTCACATCCTCGTCACCTCGTCACCACTGCCACCTCTAGTTGAAACGATGCTGCCTAGATAGGTGGGAGACGCTACTCCCTTTGAGTTTCTCCCGTTCATGGTGATTGAAGCTTGTTGTTGTTGGCGGTGGTGTTAGTTGAGTATCTTCATCACCTCTGTCTTCTCTACGTTCATCTGAAGTCCCATCTTTCTTTGCTGCCTCACCTCACCTCACCTATTCTGCTGACTTATTATTTTTCGCCTGTAGATCTTGATGTTTGTGTGACATTAGACACAAGTCATCGTTGACGAAATTCAGACCTTCTAGGCTGTTTTCATCGGTCCAGCCAGCGTATCCCCATCTTCTCACTCCTCACTGTTTGTTGCATGATCCAGTCCATATATGCCAATTTGGTTGAATCAACGACGGAGATTCACGAGTTGTAACATCAAAGAATATTCTCTATGCATTTACAATATACCGATAACTTATTGTCTTTCCCCCCTAGTTGGAGAAATTCACTCATAATCATATAATATTGAATGGAATAAATTCATGAGATAAGCATTGAACAAAATAAAAAGCCAATTTAATTTTTCGTCTTCTAAGGAAGCCTTTTCAAGCCTGTGTGAATGTATGCGGCAAAGCAATTCTCTTATTTACAAGATATAATTATGATAACGTGGATCAAGAGAAGATGAAGACGAGAAAAAAGGGGAAGAAAGAGAGAGAGGAAAGAAAACGAAAAAACACTATTCGAAGTAAAATGCATAAAAGAAGGGACAACTGATTTGTATTTTTTTTTTAATCATTTGAATAGAGAAGAATTTCGCTTGTTATTGTTTGTTTGCGCTTTTCTTCATAACATTTCATGGGATAAAAATTCACTGACTACACATTCACTAACTCACTCACTGTGTCAAGTAACGATACCAGAATAGAATAAGTTTCAAAGTAGAAACAAACAAGGAAGACAGGAAGTGATAGAACAATAGGATGAGAGGGAGAGACAAAGAAACAAGATGAAATGAATGATTGTGTTGCTTCTTTAACGATTATCATTGTTATTTCCCATTTTTAATTTATTTTCACCCAATACTTTTACAGTGATTCGTTTTGTTTTCTCCACCAATATTTATATTCCTTGTTAAGTTATTGTGATGTAAATGGGATAATTTGAGGATGAAGATGATGATAGTGATCAAGAGGTGGAGAACGTCGAAGGATTATGATTTCTTTAGATAAACAAACTTTTTGTGATATAAAATTAAGGGTGAGTATTAGAGTAAAAGATGGAAAGTAAAGTATATAGAAAAAGAAATTAATTCTACAGTTTAAAACTGATTTCTTTTCTTGAATGAAGAAAAGGTTATTGGAAAAAACTTGTAATCTGTGATAATTCATTGCCCAACTATTGTTATGCTAATAAAACAAATTTGGAGGTGATTCACAACACACACACACACACACAACTATGACAAATCACTGGGTGCTAAAGAGATGTTTCCGTTATTTTGTCGAAGTTTTCATTGGTAGACATGCCATTTAACCATCATCATCATCATCATCATCATCATCATCATCATCATCATCATCATCATCATCATCATCATCATCATCATCATCATCATCATCATCATCATCATCATCATCATCATCATCATCATCATCATCATCATCATCATCATCATCATCATCATCATCATCATCATCATCATCATCATCATCATCATCATCATCATCATCATCATCATCATCATCATCATCATCATCATCATCATCATCATCATCATCATCATCATCATCATCATCATCATCATCATCATCATCATCATCATCATCATCATCATCATCATCATCATCATCATCATCATCATCATCATCATCATCATCATCATCATCATCATCATCATCATCATCATCATCATCATCATCATCATCATCATCATCATCATCATCATCATCATCATCATCATCATCATCATCATCATCATCATCATCATCAATCTTCAGCGATGGAAACCTCGTTCATGTGGTGAATTTATGAGATTCTCCAAGGAAGATGAAAGTACTGAAGTACTTTTCTACTCCTGCTAATAAATGAAATTGACAAAGTGAACGAAAACCTTGCTCTGAAGTTCATAGAAAGAAATCCTTAACAGTCTGTCATTTGAGTGATGAATTCAAGTCATACTACTTTATTTTATATCTTAAGTGACACAATAATCTGTCATTAACCGGTAGTTCTTCTAAAAAAAAGCATTTTTATTCAACCTATTGTATTACATACATTGCATAAACAATTATCCAACTGACAAGTCATATTCACATATTACTAGTAGATCGGCAAATTGTACAAAAAGAAAATAATCTTATAATATGTAGTTGTCTGGATCAGATAGTTTTAAGGAGAAAAGAGTAGCAAGAATTAATTTGTATACTTTCCTTGTCCCTGAGTCATTTATAACTTTGTACTATGTGTGATTTATTCACGATAGAACCATCCTAGGAGGCACTACTAACGTGCAGATTTGACAATTACATCTAAATAAATCACTGGTCACAGAACCAAAACTCAAGTAAACAGTTAGCTTCGCTGCATGGCTGTCCTCATGGTTTAAGACTGAGATTTTATACTCTATTATTGTGTCTCAGGACTTGAAAAAACTTTTGTGAAGATACGATACAAACTTGGCTAGAGGTTCTACTTTCCAGTTCAACAAAATAAACAGTTATCTACATAGATTCATTGTCTGAAACATGCAAGTAAAACCAGCATAATAGCATAATAATAATGATGATTAGTGGTTAGCAGTGGGATCCAGGATATGTTTCGTCCCGTTTAGGACTCGTAAGCTGAATGACACGTATCCCAGTGAATGATTTCGCTCCCACTGAGAATTGAACTTATGACCAGTAACTCCAGATGCCAGACCGTTTTCCACTTGGTGATTGAGTCATAATAGCCTCTCCCTATGCATCAGGTTTAGTAAGCTGTGACGTCAACACAGCAGCAGTAGCAGTAATGTAGCTGAAAACTTCAGAAAATTGGCTGTCAATACTTTTAAGAAAGGTTTATTTCATAGTTAAACTCTTAACTTGATGGTTTCATCATTTTAGTTTTTGCATCTATGTGCACTTAATATTGACCAACTGTTCATTCGAAGCGGCTTTTAGGGTCTATGAATCCCAATCTAAAGGTCACCTAAGCCAAAAGTGCTAAAGTATATTATGAGCTGTCTGTATTTTTAAAACTTTATCTTTGTACAATTTACTAATATATAGCAAGTATCATGTTGTTCAATTAGAAGCCTGTACACAATTACGGAATTAATCAGGCTTTGTTTCATTAGGTTAGGTTAGGCATCCAACTGTTAATCAATGCCACACATTTTCTGAACATCAACCACTAACAAAGCTTTATGATAATTATTCAGTATCATACACCTCTGTTGGCAGGCGAGCTCCTTTGTGAATATCTAGATACAGCATGATTATTATGTTATACCTTACTTGGTGGCTAGTAGTGGAATCCAGGACTTGCGTTTCATCCTATTTTGGTACAGCAATTCGATGCAGTATAGTAGCGGGAAATTACAAGTATCAACAGACAAAAGATGATATCCATTGAAATAGTGGTGGTTCTCGTGCCCCACTCACTTACTCACTGGGGTAGATGTAAATCTCTCTGAAAATCCCTAAATAAGACAAAACGCATGTCTTCAATTCCACTACTACTCATCAAGTTAATTCTAATGTAAATGAAAGTACCCTGCTTTATATTTTCATTCTATCCGTTGTGATTCAAAAAAAATAATATATAACGCTTCATCATAACTGGTCCATAAGTTTCCTAGTGTACACAGTAAAAATAAATGGGTATTATTGTGATTTTATTATAATATGACATGTATGCAGTATAGCGTAAGAATAATAATAGTAAAAAGCTGAAGTGAGACAAAACAAAATTAATTTCATTCCTAGTCTTCTTCATTCTAATTTACTTTACTATCTCCACTTGACACATCAATTTCTTACATTGTATTAATCCGTTTCTATATTGTATTATATATATATATATATATATATATATATATATATATATATATAATCCCTTTCTGTCATTCAAATGACCTTTATTCAGCAAATTAATCATTTAACCTTCGTGATAATTACAATTTGGTTTATTCTACTGTAAAATGGATAAATGTCATAAAATTAAAGAGAAGAATAGCATATCGACATTTCAGTGATTTCAGAATAATTTTCGTTACACAACAGGAGTTTGTTAACGAAACACTAGGGAAAAAACAAAATACTCAAACGTTTCAAGGTTTTACTCATCACTAATTCGTATCATTTAAAGAATCATTTGGAAACCTAGGATCATTAGACAGCTATTTTGTCGCAGTGCGAAACTCTTCAGCACTATGCAATCACATCTTCAGTGACAGGACTCTGGGGTCCCTATAGACCTCACATTACATTATTGGATAGTACGCACTGGGGAAATGCTTCAGAAGTTTCAATGAGAAGTTATAAACTGTGGGGCCAACCAGTCTGAAAAGAAACAGATGCAAACCGAAAATATTGGTGGATAGTCGCGCTGTGTCGCGAATTAACAGAAGTCCAAAACTATGGACCGTTGAACTCTAACTCGGTAGCTGAATGGTTAACATGTTCATCACGATTTCGATCCATGGTGGGGTCATCAGTGTGGAATGTTGAGGTATTCCACCTTTCTAATGCTCTCAGGTTTGCCATAATTTCCCAACTCACGTCAGTCCTTGAAAGATACCACCTTAAAAAATGAAATCTCCATTAACCTCAAACTACATTACGCAAAAGTTTGTCTTCATTAGATATCTTTGATGAGCGTGACGATTAGACACATGGTAGTTAGGCTTCATATTGATTTATTGAAACATGATTATCTTCTATTACTTATTGATAATATTGTGGGTAATAATTCGATTTGCCAGCTTCATTGAAGACATATTCTATGGATGCTTATAATGCAATAGATTGTAGCGTCATACACTTCCCCAAAATCAATAGCCTAGGGTTTGACGACTTTCGACATTGATGCTGACCTTGATAGTTTAACTGGACTCGCTAAGCTGAAGGCACCCGGTCAAGCATCCTTACACTTGGCACACTATCGTGTTACGTTGCACTGCTCGTATTCGACTCTCTAGCCAGTTAGTTGGAACGCATCGGTATTTTGGCATAACCATCCAAATATACTATTCCATCCGACTACGCTATCGTGTTCTTCCTTGGTCTCGTATTCGTGGGTATATAACAAGTCCGAATAATTAGTGATTGGTCTTTGCGTCTGTCAAGTTCCCACCAGGACAAGTCCTAAAAGATAAAGAAATATTAAGCAGTATGCAGACATTTATAATGATTTATAGAAGATAGTGTTTGAAATGACACCCACTTGTAGCATTCTGTGGTCACCCTAAAGAAGCATTAATATATAAAAGCTGTCCTATTCATCAGTCATCGGGTTTATGATCAGGAGTACACTGTATGGCCCTATTTATGAATGGATTGAAAGTGAAGGTTCTATTCAAACAAAATAGTTAATTTGAATCTTATTAAGGCAAAATATCTGCACCTACAGTTTGGCATTCTTTGATATTTTGATGAATAAGATTACAGTAATAGTGCCGCAAGTAAGTAAGTAGATAGGCAGGTAGGTAGGTAAGTAAGTAAGTAAGTATGTTACCTGACGGTTATAACAAAAATGGTATGTACTGGTCATATATTTACACACCTACTAGTCTGTCTTATCACCCAAGTATCTTATTCAACAAAACATACACGGCCAATCAGTCCAAAGCTTGTTTTTAAGACATTAATTTAAGTTGAATAAGTTCATGGCTTCATTACAGCAACTTACTGGCATTCTATTTGAGAGTTAGGTGCTTCGTTTGACTGTTCAGTCTAGTGTATAGGATCTAGGATAAAAGTATATAGCATGAATAGTAGTGCTGTTTACCCAAGTTAAGAACTAACTGTATATATCCGCCCGGATTATACACAAGAAAATACTTCTAAATAAGACCAGTTCCCACTGATGTATAAGTCCATATATTCACTAGAGTGAGAGAGTGAAGTAATTCGCATCTTTAGAGGATTCATGGCAATATATTTCTAAAGTGTTGGGAATGAGGAAACGTGTTTCTGTAGTACCCAAGTGATATATATATATATATATATATGTATATATATATATGCAGCATAAACTGTCTTGGAATTTTTCAAGTTGGTATTCATTATGGACTGACATCAATTGGGGGAACACTGGAAATCTGGGAGTACTCAAGAGATGTTTCATCCTAGTATGGGACTCTTCAGCAGTGCGCATCCACGACCCACCCCCCAGGGATCGAACCCACGACCTCCAGGTTCCGTAGCCACAAAGTTACCATTGAGCCAATCGGGTCAGAGTCCAATGGTCCATATTTCTAACTTCTGTCGGTTCGCGACATAATGCGACGATCACCCAATTTTATCGTTGAGTATTTGTCATCACGGGCACCATGCTTGCCAAAGTGGTTACGACTTCCCATTGGAACTTCGGGAATCACCTTTTAAAGCTAGTCACCAGTGGGTAATGTCCTGGAATTACTCATACAGTTAACCTTTATCCTTATTTCAGTGCTTTGTATTTCCAGTTCATTTTCACTCGACAATATTAAGAGTTCACCACTTGATCACATGCAATCCGCGGATATCTGTCCATCTAAGCGATTGCTATCAATAGTTAATTCATGTTTAAGTGACTCACTAACCAGTTAATATACTAACCACTTTCACTTCTCATTAGAATAATAATAGTATAGTGGTATTATTCATCATGAACTGACATCAGTTGGGGAACCACTGAAAATCTGGGAGCACTGGACAGCTGCTTCGTCCTAGTATGCGACTCCTCAGCAGTACGTGTTATGCTTTCGAACGCTAATGGTTACATATACCGAACGATATAATATGCATGCTTAGCTCACAGCTAACTTAGTACACAAGA